TACAAAGGCAAATCTAGTGGCAGTTTTGACACCCTTTGACTGCTACCCTCAAAAATTGCACATTTCAATAAATGAAATAATTTAGAATAAAGCCAAGCAACAGTCTTCTTTAACTATCAATATATTGACAATTTGGGTGGATGAGGTGTCCAGAAAGGTTTTTAATTTTATTTTTATTTTAAGCTTACTAGATTTTCCAGAGAGCTGTTTCAAAAGGAATTTGTGTAAGAAATGTTAACTTCCAGTGTTACTAGGCCAAGTCCTCTTCTGCAATTCAGACAGATGTGTCAAGACTACAGAAGTCTCTGTAGTCAAATACAAATCCCAACGACGAACTATTAAAAGACCATAGCTTAAGTATTTACTGATGACATGCAATGAAATCAAGCAAGCAGTAACAGGATTCCATTTACATTTGGAGCATTCAGAAAGAGACTGTTGCAGTTCAGTTGGGGTACAGGGCTGGAATTTCACAAAACACTTGTAAATAGTTAACATTCTCTCCCCACTTGACACGCAAAGTAATAGTTTCAAAACAATGCATCTATGTCATTCTTTGTATAAACAAAATACTAAGAGCAGAACTGATTTTCAGAGTTGCTGAACACTCAAACTCATGTCAAGAAAATACACAGGTACATCTTGCAATATGTGGTCATTTTGTTTGCCTGCATATCCAGGTTTAGAAAAAAAATAATCCATAAGAACTCTTTGATCACAATGAAACCAATTCTTCCACAGTGCTTTTCACCCCCCTAGGTCAGGAAAGGAGTACCTTCTACTACCTTTTCTAAGAGCAATCATTTTTGTTTTAATACATGCTAACCTGGTTTGGATCTAAGCCATGATGACATCTTTAGGCCATGACATCTGATGAAGGACACAAACTTAAAATATGTCATTATGTGGAGAAAGCACAGTTCTGACATTCTCAGTTGTCTGGATGCTTTTATGTCAAGGGTCTTTTTTGGCAGGTTTTATTCATTTCATGATGTACAAACTTTGCTTCGGAGGTATGTATAAGTGCATATTAGTTCTGGATGAGAATAGGCCTGCAAGTCTATTGGTAAGAATCTAAAAACAAGATTGTTACCAATACCAGTCCTGCCTCAAACCATCAAGATAAAAGCAGCAGACATACACAGACTGTACGTGTGTGCATGCGCACAATGAGTCAAATGGAAACCAAGACACCTAAGAAGTCACCCTGCAGCACTGATCCTTGTAACTGCAAGTCTCTGGTGACTTTCTACGCATTCTCCTTCACCTTTTCACAGAGAAGCTGTCAGGTACTCAGCAAGGAAACATTCAGCAAGGAAATATGGATATCACTGGCAGTGAGTTACTGTGAAGACATCAGCATTTCAGAGATGGCAAGGAGAGAACATATAATACTTCAGCAAGGAATTATTGCTGTACCACTGAATTTTACTAAACTCAATAAGCAACAAGAAGTTAGGCTTGAGGCAGAAGAAAGGTTAATGGACATTACTTGTTTTTTTTCTTCCCAAGAGGCTCAGCTTCAGTGTTTTCCAACAGTCTCAGATTCTGAATTGCAGTAAACTGTGTTTTAGAAGAAACCAAAAAATAGCCCTGAGAGTAAACATACTTTTTAAGAGCTGCTATTGCTTTATGTTAATTGAATGCAGCAATCATTTACTTCCACAGTATGCAATATTTAATTTTCACTCCCTTTTTTTCCTCACTTGGGATATGCACATGCAATCAAGAATTTCTTTCCAAGATATATGTACTCAAGCATTATCTATCATTTTTCCAAGTACTTACATTTGTAACTACAGGATTATGGCACCAAGCAAGGAAAGAATAGCTGAAGCAAGTCAAACTTTAACAAAGAAGTCCTCTTCCCTTGTGCCTTGAGTATTTTTAAAAAGGATTCCAATAGTCATAGCTGCCACCACAGACCTTAATTACATCAATGACCTCCTTCCTTTGACTTACGTAGCATTTACAACTGGAGGAACACCATTCAGTATATCTCAAAAATCAACTTTCAGTGTTACTGAACGCTGCCACCAGCCTTTAAGTGTGGTTAGAAGTGTAAAACACCAAGAAAACAAGAGTATATCGAGTGTGTCAAGTTGTGCATAAAAACAGACCTTTAATTTTTCTTAAGCTACAAAGTAGGCAATCAAGGAACCGACTAGGTCTATGCATAGTTAGGACTTAAAGTATGCCAAAAGAATTTGAACTCTTTCAGTAGAACTGTACTTGAGCAATGCATGGGTCAACCCTCCCCCCCAAAAAATCAATATCCCACTCTATACATAAAAGAATTTTTAAAAAGTTCCATGCACTCTCAAAGCTATTTTGAAATTTATTTAAATACTTTATCTAACAGCTCTGCTATAGCACAAGACAGCACATTAAAAGTTTAAGGCTATTTTTTGCATGCACACATGTAAAAGCTGGTCTCAGAACAAGAGCTGTCATATTTTCTGAATTTTAAGTCTTTAGTGTAGATTCAGAATAAAGTAGAGCTGCCACAGCAATAGTAGAGTTGTCCTGCATATAAAAAAGACTGAATGTTGTCCTGAATGCAGTTTGTTTTTATAAAAAGGAAAAGCCTCACACATTTACATTTGGTTTTTATCAGAGCAGCTCACTAATTTGTACAGTACATTGTCCAATAACATACAATGTAGACTACCAAAGAGATGCTCAAGTACTACAATAACAGGTGCAAAATAAAGTCCTAGGGTAAGAAAGCCCACTGATATTTGGGAGAGTCACTCTGCGATGAAAACAAACATCAAAATGCAGTTTTGGTGAAGTCAGTTAAGTCTCAAGGCTGTAATAAAGGCTATTTGTTAACTTTAGCCCTTTGGTTCTTAACCATTCAGTTAAGATCTCCTGATAAAGCACTAGGCAGTTTGGCATTGATGGAGAAGCTCTTTACATGCTACTGTTACAGAAATAGAAAACAGACTTACATGCACTTCCTTCACCTGAATGATCTGATCTTCTATGAATCCAGGTCATACCAGATTTAAACAAACCTGTCTAAAGCAGTGCATTTTAGGCTTCAAATTGCACCATAACTGTTTCAGAAGAAACTAATATCCATAAAACCTAGAAAATAATTATCAACTGGTCAAATTACAAAAATGTGATGCACAAAGCCACTTAAATCTACTTCAGTGTAAATCAGAGCTGTTACTTCAAACTGAGCTCTTTAGACCCATCTGCACAATGCTATCTATTTTGATGGAAAGAAAGATGACAACTCAAATTCTGCTCACTTGCTAGTTTAACAGATCTAATATTTTAATACTTCCTGGTATGTTTTTCATTTGCTGAATTTTTGCATAATATTTTAAGAAGGGATTCATTATACTATTAAAACAGGACTTAGACATTCTAGTGTGATTTACACTTACTTGCTGAGTAAAGTACGTTGCTATCATAGTCGCTTATGTAGGATTTAAAGGAACAGTAAATGTCCATCAAAACTATGACTATTGTTTTCACAGGTATACAGGGTTCTTTTTTCCTCCCAAGTGAAATGTTTGCAACCAAATCTAGCATATTAAACACTGAAAAAAATTGTTATATTTGCAGTATCATCTTTAAATAGATGTAATTATGAGGTGACCTGAGTATGCAACTGATGGAAGCTATGTATATGCAAGTCAGTGAGAACTGCTCATGTGTAACAGACCAATTTGTAGACCCAGAGACTGTCCACAATGATGCTTACTTTGAAATTACTGAATCTAACTCTGTCAAAGAGGTACAAGATTATCTTGTTTTATATGTTGATATGATACTGGTATTCATATCACTGCAGTTTTTTGCATGTCTATATTGTATTTATTGTAACCCAAGTAATGCACTCCAGGAACACATGAGAAACCTCACTGAAATTCCTGAACGGTTTCCATTTGCAATTGCCTTTCCCCCCCATTTTCATTTGTTATTATAATTTCAAAGGAACCATAAACTGCTGCATATCAGGAGAGACCAGGTATCAAAAAATTGTCTCTTTTACATGCTAGCCTAAGCTGCTAGTCAAAAAGGGAGAATGTATCTGCATATCTGTGTAAAAGACACTATGCCTGACAAACCATCACCTTCAACGGACACACAAAACACCACTATGACAAAAGGGAATAAATCATGCACATGTTTTATGTGGCCATGGTCTATAATACAGTGATGAGTCACATCAGAGCAAATCTGTGCCAAGAATGGTTAATGATTCAGGCTGACTAACTCTGTAAGTAGCCAAGCAAGCCTGTAAGAGGCAAGTGGCATATTTTCTGGAAGAAAGAATACTGAGTAAGAGGATAACATCTTTCCCCTCCCCTGCACAAAAATCTATGGAAATATAGAACAATACTGGGGCAACTGCTTTAACATGCAATTTTCCAGCCAATAAACCAACACCAGCGGGAATTCTGTGAAGGAAGGAGTTTTAAGAATATGACTTACCTGAAGCACAAACTTCAATATCAAAAAAATGTACACTATATACTAAAACTGCTTTTTGAATACTCTTCTGTTTTAAAAGTTTCAAACATATTAAATTGTCTTAATTTTGTTTAGGGCTGAGGCTGTTCAGCAAGGTCACATAATTTGAGACTGCTGAAATACTTCAGCAATCCTTTGGTCCCAGCAGCTATAAAACAGCCAAGTAAAAAAGACGTTCCCTACAAAAAAAAAAAAAAAAAAAGAAAAAAAAAAAAAGAGAGAAGCAGTGGGAATCATCACCAGGAAAGTGTCTTCTAAACACCATCTGCTACACACCAGAAAAGGCAAAGTTTTGTTACAAAATACACATTTTCATACAAAAGACATCTTGCAAAACCATCTGATTGCCCCTCCCTCTGCAGATCACAATGGTAAATGGGATCAGCTGGTTGCTCTTGAGATTTTTGTTTTAATGGGAAAAAAGTCAAAGGACACACAGCATCACAAGTGGTCCTTTAAATGGCAAAGGATTATGACAGTCTTTGTTTTCACCAGTGTTTAAAAAAAGCAGGAGATAAACAGAAACAAAGTCTTCATAAGCAGAAAGTGCAACAGAGTATCAGCTGCTGCATGCTCCTGAACTTCTCAATGTGCTACCAAACTGTCAATTATACAAATGTTTCAATTATGACAGTGCCATAAATTGTTAAAACAACGCAAAAAGTGTGATCACAAACATCCGGTCAACTGGTTCCAATTTTTTCCCAGTAGTTGCCCAGAAAAGAGTCAAGTCAATCTAAATCTATCCTTCAGCTTCCTCAATATGTCCCACTTGCTGGAGTATAGAGGTCTGTGGTATTACTGTACTTGTTCCACGAGAGATCCTGTCTTGATCTGTGTTTGTAGACAAGGAAGCCATAGAAATGGGCTGTAACAAACTGGGTGCCATGCTGGAGGAGACAGTCAGGCTGTGTGTAGTGCCCTTAAGTGTGAGATCCTGTGTGGGAAGAAGTGGCTTGAGGATGCTGACAAGACAGAAAGCAGAGCCACTTTTAGGAATGAAATTCACTTTGTTCTTGTCAGGGCAGTAGAAGGCTGGAATTTCATGCAATGGCTTTGGCCTAGAAATAAAATACACACAATAGTTTTCAAATGACACTGATCAAATTCTGTCAATGACAAGTATGTATTGCTGAACACGTCACCAGAGACAAGTTGAGGTTTAAACTAGAAGTATTTCAGCCACTCAATAATGCCTTACTGACACTCCCACCACATGGCAAATATCAAGATGGTTTAAACTGCTTGTTTACATATTCTGCAAGATAAACATCATGTTCATAGGGTAGGCTGTCTCCAAACCAAAGGAAGACACTAACTTCATGTTGAAGATCACAAACCCTGTCCATGAATTGGTATATCCAATACACAAGTATTCTTCATCACATTCTCCAGAAACTTTCACAACCCAACAAGTTCTGCCCCACACATAGACACTCTTTATACGTCAAGCCTTGTGAAAGAAAGCTGGCACAGTAATGTTCCTAATATTGCATATCTCAGAGCTGTTCGTAGGGGAATCCCCTTTTCCAGACTTTTTCCTCCTTTTCACGTTCACCTGAGTGTGGCCTGAATCACTCTAAAAGATGAGCCCAGTTTACTTAAAAGCTCAACGCAGAGAGTAAAATGTAGTATGCTCAAAGTGGCATTCATGATCAAGTACCTATAACCTGGGAAGGAACAGTAGAACACACATTTAGATCCAGACTTGCAGTTTTGCCATCTCAGCATGTAATTCAACCAACTCAGAAGCATGCTTTATCAAAGACAGAGCTGGAAGGGAAATTGTGGATAGCACAGGAACGCCTCCCATGTCTGCTAAGCTAGTCTAACTCTACTTTAAGACCAAACTGTGGGAATCTGTTTCAAAGCCTCTCTTCCCTCCTGGAAAATAATAATCAGAAATTTATACTTAATTCTTCTTGTGGCCAGCATTGTCCTTTAGTCTTTAACCTCTCCCTCTCTTCCATGTGTTTGTAAGACAGCCATATGCACCTCTATCTTTGTTCTACTAGGCCAAGCAAGCCAATCTTTCGGTCTATTCTTGTAAGAGATATTCTATTCTGAAAAGTAATTCTGTTCATGGTATAGGGTATGTTTCCACATTAGCTGCTTCAAGCGTCCAGAAAATTAAGCCAAATTTTTAATTCTTTTTTCCCCAAAATGAAAAACCTGTAAGTTTCAAACAGAAATAATGTTAAACAAAGGTTGAGCTTTAAATAGTTACACTCAACACATTCCATGTACGTATGGAATGCAAGTACCAGATGTTAAAAGATTCTTGCATGAGACTGCAATGTCTAGCAACTGCCACAGCTAGGTAACAGCTTCTGTAGAAGCCTGTTTCACTCTACAGCAGAGTAGTCTTATAGCTACGTAGCAAGACATCCAAAAAGAACTGCAAACACAAGCCAAATCACAATAGAATATGTTCTTGGAATAAGTGAAGACTACCTAATCTGTTAGCAACATAGCTTTCACACTCTAAAACAGAGACAGGTAACTTAAGTTACTGCAACCCTTTCCACATTGCTATGGAGTGGCCATAGAGACCCCTCAAAATCCATTTTGCAGGGATCAGAGGTGGAAAATACACAAAGGCAGAATTTTTTTTTTTTTAATTAATAGTTGTACTAGATGGCATTGCTGAGATAACATAAGCATATGAGAATTCTAACCTTAATTATACTCCTTGTGTGACTAAATGAAATTTTTAACTATAGGTTAAGATTCTTGCATCCATGTGACATAAGGGTATAAAAACTCCACTGAAAATAATAATAAAAACATAAACCTCCCCAGAATATTCCCAAACGACAAAAGTTGGCTTTTTCAGAATAACCAAAGTATCAAATATTCAGGGTCAAATTCACTTCTCTATCACTAGAAGTTTCACAACTACATAGATGTAGCTGACAAGAACAGGTTCTTCAGAGTCTAGATTACTGGATGTGCCTGTCAAGCTGTGACATATATTAGCTAATGCACTTGCATTACAGCTTCTTAGTACAACTCTCTGTACCTGATTATCTGAGTTCCTCCCCCACTATCTGCCAGGTACGACACAGTCCTCTCAAGTTATGCTGGTTTTAAAAAAAGTTTCTCAAAGTTCTGATTTTAGTGCAAAATTCCAGCAATAAAATACATACATATATACCAGTATAAAATAATGCAAAACAACAAGAGATCAGACTGTTTGCATGGTTTTAGTAAGCGGACTAATAATTTTGATCTGACACAAAATCAATAAACCAGTGGGTAACTCTGTTAAATGTTATTTCTTATGTAGTAGAGATCAACTTACAAGCTTTCCTCAAAGACTTTCACCTTTTCACAGCCCTCTGGAGGTTCACGCTTGAACATGTAGCTGTTGTTGGGTTTTGGTGAGGTAGCGTATTTTGGCAAAGGAGAATTATTCCCATTTTCTGCAAGAACAGAGTATCTCATCACTTAAATGTGTCACACTATGAAAAACTAACTATCTTTAAATGCTCCCCAAATTGAAACCCATTTCTGTTACCAATGTAATAAAGAAACAAACATTTTCATTCTCATATCTCAATCCATTTCCTCCTTTCTCTTCTTTCCTTGTATCATTTTCAGGCTCCTCTGGAATCTCTGTTCATTCCCGGACACTTTCAGTTTGCAACTGCAAACTTAAATCTATGGTCACCATCTAGCCGAAAGAAATGGGCAGAGGCCATATTCCTTAAAAACCACAACAGATTTACATTAAACTATAAAATTCACCTAGTATATCTCGGAAGATTTCTGGTAAAAAAATAATTAAAAATTAAATAATCCCAAACAGTTAAACTTTTATGGGTGCATGTATGAAATGCTGGAAAGCTGCCCGTTTTGCCTGAGATCATAAAAAATACCTGACAGAAGTTAACAAGACTAGCCTACTTTGCTGTTCCACCTGTCACTGCACACTGTTGCTTCTTCAACTTGTACCTGAAGGATATATTATTTAAAAACAAAAACTTGTTTGGGAAGCACACTCCTCAGTCACATCTATCCAGCTTCAAATACAGAACACTAGATAAGTGTGCAAACACGGTACTTGGAGCAACCTGGAAAAAATAGATAACTTACAAAAAAAAAGTTCTATTGTTTCTCCATGGATGTCAGAAACAAAACCCTTCTATTACTGCATGTTCATCCACACAGCAATGGGTTAAAGCTTAGCTTTGCTGAACTTTTAAAGTTACACAGTACCTTTATCTCTGGAATCAGCAAGAAGATCATCTGTAGAACATGGACTTTCCTCACTGCCTTCATTTGAGATGGTAAGAAACGAGGTTGGAGATACTGACTGGGAGCGGCTGCTGTTGTTACTACCCCTGTCTGCTCCACCAGGCGTTTGGGTATCAATGCTGCGAGTACTACTACTACGTTGAACCAAGGGAGGCGGTGCACGGTGCCCATCTGGAATATCTTGAGGCTGTTAAAAATAAAGGCTATTATCTACTTATCAATTTCTTTAAATCCAGTAATACTGAGGATGTTTTTCTGGTTTCATAAAACTGTCTGAAGTAGAAAATTTTATTCCTTACACAGGACTGCAACATAAAATAAAATAAGTCAAGTTTGGAAAGTAAGGACAGTAGTTTTCAAGATTTCACAGAAAAGCTGAATTTGGAAAGGACCTCTTGAGATCATCTAGTCCAACCCCTCTTCTTCCTGCAAATTCAGCTAGAGCAGTCTGTCCAGGACTGCATCCAGTCAGGTTCTGAGTATCTCCAGACAGTGATCCCACAACCACTCTGGGCAACCTGCTTCAGTTTTGATCAGCGTCTCACATATATATATATATATATTA